TATATATTTTATTACTGTATGTAATATATAGCTATAAACTGCCTTAATTTTTTTGAAATAATGTAAGATATAAATATAAAACTGTATCTATACCATACAAAATGAAAGTTGTATTTCCTAAGATGTAGAAATAATTAGACAGTCCCTATGTTACAAAGTATTATTAGATGTTAGCATGAACTTCTCCAATATATTTTTGTTATTTTATATTTCATTAATTTTGTCGGCTAATAATGCAGCAATTTTCAATTTAACATAGGATAACAAATGTTTACGGCTAGATGTTAAATTTATCACCATTTATGATTAAACATAAAATATACTATATTTTCCATTTTCAATGCTAAAATGAAACAAGTTGCGATGACAATAAGTTGTCCAAAGGAACTGAGAAATCTAAATTTTAATATGAGGGATGACAAGGGTCCCCTTTACATCAAAAATTATACATTAACATACATATACAAGGAGATATAATTTAGATTTGCACAAAGATAAATGTAAATAAACTTAGTTTTTGTTAAAAGTAAACATTACTTACCTATAACAACTGGGATTATTTTTAAAGCAGTGAGATTTATTTTTAATCTGAATAAATATTCAAAAGCATTTAAATAGTAGAAACAACATATAGATCAGCATGTATGAAAGTACAAATAGCAATACTTTAAGCATATAATTTAGTTTATAATTTAATACTTTAAGCATATAATAAGTTTAGATATTTGGAAGCACATATTATTGTTCCAGATATAAAGGAGTGCCATCATAAGCAAAATATGAATCCTTTTCCTTTTTCATTTTCATTTTCTAGAGAAATGCAAATTAGAAAATACAGTTACAGAAGGATCAATTATAATTCATTCACACTAATGCATTCAGAATTTAGAATGGGGAATGGGAAGTCTGCTTTCTTTGATACTTCATTAGGACTGTACTCTCAGCTTCTGTCCTCTGAACATGAACATGTGTTGACTACCTTTCTCCACCATGCTCCCATAATACCTTAATGTATAAATAAATGTGTAATATATCTTATATTATTATCTAATAAACATTATCTGTATTATAAGACTTGCTCCACTGTAACTATTTATTTATCTAATTTTCTCTTATGTTAATCTGTGAATTCTTTGAGGGTAAAGTCTAGACTAATACTAATGATTGTGAGTCTGCTCACAATAATTGTTGAATAAATCTATTACTGATTAATTGAATGACTAAATGAATGTTTACATCTTGTTTGAAGTTATCTTCATACTTTATTTTATCTAACATTTTATTTTTTAATTTTGTTCAAAAAAAAAGATGCCCAGACTTTTTTTAAAAGAAAGAACATCCCTAAAACACACTGTTCTAACTCAAAAAATATAAATTGTATTAATTGGAATATTTTTAATCATTTGCGTAAATTTCCTTATATATTTTAATTATGACAAGGAGAAGATAACAGTTATACCCTTTTCCAGTAATATAGTTTTCAATTAGTAAGTTGAATTCTCTAATTTGAGACTGACAAAGTACCAGGAAACGTCCCAATTCTAGTTCATAGTGTTCTTCAGTGTAGCTTTCTGAATAAGAGTTTAGCATTTCACCATTGAGGATTCTTAGAGCAGGTAACATTTTAAGCAGAGAATACCTATTAAAAAGATGAAAAAAAAATCTTGAGAAGGAGAGTTTATATCTAAAATAACCATATGCCTACTACTTAAACAATATAAGCACAGAGTATATCTCAGAAATTGTTGATTTTGGAGAAAAAATTATACTGTTAAATTAGTTTTTAAATTTTATGGTATCATGTCATGTACAAAATAAGTTTTACAGTTTTTAACTTATACTTAACTTTTTTTTTTTCTAAAAAGCATTTGAAAACTTGGGCTAGGAGTAAATAAAAGGCCACATTATAAGAATAATGATATTCTTATAATTTTTTTAAAGATACACTCTTTAAAAAAAAATAACTAAAATAATCTTACTAAAAGTTACTATTTTTTTGAGAAATACTGGTAAATTCTGATTGTTTCTCTTAGTAAAATATAGCGAGAGTAGGGTTAAAACAAGAGGTGTGGAGATTATACTGTTTTTCCTAATCTGGAAAATCTAAAATTGTTGGATTGCCTTCTAATTGCTAAGGATTATAACAACAAAAATCTTAAGAATATGAGTAAAAGTCTGTATTGATTTAAATAACTAACAATGTTAAAAATCAGGTCAAACAGTAAGAATTGTTCGCCAAGCTCAGCCATTTAGAATACTCCCCAAAACTTTCATAAGGAGAGTGCAGGCCTCTTTTCACAAGGCCACTATTGATGGTCACAGGAGTAAAATGGACATTTTGAATGAGTAAAACTCCTTAGTTAAAAACTCACAGTTCCTATGAGAAAAACTACAAAACTCTGATAAAACATTAAAAAAGAAAACTAAATAAATGAAAAGATGTCTCATGAAGATATTATCATACATAGGAAGATTCAATATTGTCATTAAGTGAGTTCTTCCCAGCTTGATCTGTAGATTCAACACCATCCCAATAGAAATACCAGCAAGATATTTTATGGATATCAACAACTGATTCTAAAGTTTATATGGAGAGGCAAGTGACCCAGAACAGTTAACTCAATATTGAAGGAGAAGAATGAAGTTTGTGGATAAACACTACCTGACTTCAAGATTTACTATCAAGGTACAGTAATCAAGACAGTGTGGTAGTACTGGGAAAAGAATAGAGAAATAGATCAATGGAACAAAAGAAAGAACCTAGAAATAGACCTATACAAATATAGTCAACTAATCTTTGACAGAGAATTAAATGCATACAATTTAGAAAAGATAAATAGTGCTGGAATGACCAAATATTCACATGCAAAAAAAAAAAAAAATTAGACACAGACCTTTCATTCTTCTCAAAAATTAACACAAAAGGGATCACAGACCTAAAAGCAAAATGTAAAACTCTAAAACACCCAGAAGATAACATAGAAAAATCTAGATGACCTTGGGTATGGTAAAGATGTTTTAGATACAACACCAAAGACATAATTCATGAAAGAATGATTGATAAGCCAAACTTCATTGATTTTGAATATTTCTTCTCTGAGAAAGATACTGTCAAGAGAATGAGATGATAAGCCACACACCGGGAGAAAATATTTGCAAAAGACATATTCAATAAAAGACCGTTATCCAAAATATAGGAAGAACTCTTAAAATTCACCAAAAAGAAAAGAAAAAAAATGAGCAAAGGCCTTAAAAGACACCTCACTAAAGAAGATGTGAAGATGACAAATGAGTATATGAACAATGTTCAATATCAACATTCAATATGTTTAATCGGCAATGTTTAATTGTTAATTAAAACTGCAATGAGATATCACTACCTACCATTAGAATGACCAAAATCCAAAACATTAATAACAGTAAATACTTGTGAGGATGTGGAGAAAGAGGAATTCTCATTAAGTGCTGGTGAAAATTCAAATGGTATAACCACTTTGGAAAATAGTTGGGTGGTTCCTTACAAAACTAAACATACTTTTACCATTTGATCCAGCAATCAGATTCCTTGGTACTTATCCAAATGAATTAAAAACTTATGTCAACATAGTGCTTATAGCAGCTTTATTTGTATTTGCTAAAGCTTGAAAGCAACCAAGAACTCCTTTCCTAGGTGAATGGATAAACTGTGGTACATTGTAAAATGGAATATTATTTAGCACTAAAAAGAAATGATCTATCAAGCTATGAATAGATGAAGGAAACAAATGCATATTATTGAATGAAAGAAGCCAATCTAAAAAGGCTACATTATGATTCCAACTATGTTACATTCTGGAAAAAAGTAAAACTATGAAGAAAAAAGATTAATGGTTGCCAGGGTGCCCGGGTTTAAGAGTGAGGAATGAATAGGTGAAGTTCAGAAGATTTTAAGGGCAGTGAAACTATTCTGTATAATACTACATTATGGACATATGCCATTATGCATTTATTAAACCTATAACATAGAACACCGAGTGAATCCTAATGTAAACTATAGACTTTGGGTGATAATGATGTGTCAATGCAGGTTCATTGATTGTAAAAAGTGTACCACTTTGGTGTGGGATGTTGATAGTGGAGGAGGCTGTGTGTTTATGGGGATAAAAGGGTATGTGGGAACTTTCTGTACTTTCTCAATTTTGCTGTTGACTTAAAACTGCTCTAAAAATAAAGTTTGTTAATTAAAAAACAAAACAGTTCTAAACATTAAATGAAGGATGGCAAGGTAAGATTACTAAAATGCTAAGGTTCAAGAGGGAAAACTCCAGTGACAGCCCTAATAATTGTTATTCCTTCTACCTAATTGTATAGTCAGGATTGATATATCCATTTGTACAAACACAGTTATAAAATATAATTTTAATATATGCATTTTATTAATAAAGTGGTACATTAAGGCAAAAATGCCTAAGGCCAACAAAAGTCATAATGCATTCCTGTGCATAGTTATAATCTTGGTAGTTTTGACAGTGAATAAATTACGAGAGAGGTATAAATACTCGCCCTCCATGAAAGCCAAAAAGAGGAACACTACAGTTTCTCATTTTCTGGCAAGAGAGATGATTAGTACCTTACCCTCTTTCCCCTAGAAATAATGCATTTTTTAAATCAATATTTAAATAAGAATAGAGAAAAATAATTAGATTTGGATCTTCAGAGTAATTATCAGATGTTTTAGATATTAACAAGCAGATAAAAATCTAATGCTTTGCTAACAAAGAGTTTGAGCTAACTAAGAAAGTTTGGGTCCAGATATTTTTAACATTTTTAGTAGGCTTGTAGCTACCAGTGTTTGGTAAAAACTACCACATTTACTACAAAGGGAGAAATAAATGACACATATTGTGCTTCTGCTTGGATTCATTTTAAGAAATGATTCAAAAGTAGAATGTTATATTAAGACAATAGTTATTCATCACAAGGTGAAAAGGTAATTAGAAGCATTTACTACAGAGGTACAATATTAAATACAATGTGAAATCTTTGACCGAGGTACTACTCAAAGCAAGGAAGGGCAACTCTCTGAAAGTGAAGCTGGTAATAATAAAAATACAATGTAGAAATTAAATATTGTATCCATATTCCACCCTACCAAACTTTTTATTACATTACCTATGAAGCTACATTGTATTTTAAGTCTTCACTCGAGTATCCAGTCAAGAGTTCATCCAGACATGACTATAATTTTAAAATAACTTATTTAGTCATAATTCTAAAGTATCAGGTATGAAATGATGATGTTTTTGAGATGTGATAATAAAGAGTAATAAAATAATGATGGCCTTAATGGACCATTTTATTAATAAAAATATATATCAAAATTATATCTTACAATTGTATTTGTACAAAAGGATATATTATTCTTGACTATACAGTTAGGTAGAAAGAGTTACTATTATTAGGGCTGTCACTGGAATTTTCCTTCTTGAACCTTAGTATTTTAGTAGTCTTACCTTGCCATCCTTCATTTAATGTTTAGGAACTGTTTTGTTTTGTTTTTTAATTAACAAACTTTACTTTTAGGGCAACTTCACTACCTCCTCCACTATTAACATTCCACACCAAAGTGGTACACTTTTTACAATTAATGAACCTGCATTGAAACATCATTATCACTCAAAGTCCATAGTTTACATTAGGGTTTACTCGGTGTTCTATGTTATAGGTTTGACAAATGCATAATGACATATGTCCACAATGTAGTATTATACAGAATAGTTTCACTGCCCTTAAAATCCTCTGTATTTCCACCTATTCATCTCTCCCTCATAACCCCTGGCAACCACTAACCTTTTTCTCCACAGTTTTAAGACTGCATTTTTTATCCAACTTTAAAAAAAAAAAAAAAAGATGCTCTAATTCTATTACTGTTCCTCTTTCTTTAAATTTCCTAAATTATAGAAGAATAAACATAGACTTCAATAATCTGATGCAAATAACCCTTGAGAATAACCAACAATTCTAATTTTTTGAGTACCAAACAAATTTCTGTCTTGGTCTCCAAAGTAGACCTGACAAGCAGAAGGAATGAGGTGTGTCAATGACAGGCTTTAGTCTATACCTTAAAAAGAAACTTAATAAAGATTTTCTTATTACAAGTTGAATTTCTTAGGAGTTAGGGAAAGCTGATTTTTTTTTTCTTCTAGGGTATAATCATTTCTGGTTAAACAATAACAGTAAACTGCTGGACTTATAAAATTTTTCACCAGGATAGACCCACAGTGGAAGTGCAGATGTAGTAACACTGATGAGACCCTCTTGAGCAGCAACCTTTCAGGTCTCATTTTGGCTATATGAGGAGGTGTCAAGAAAAGAAAGGCAATACTCATGCCGCTAACATGAGAATCACAGAGTCTAACATATCTATTCTTTATCTTAGTTCTCTAAATCAATTGGGCTGGGAATTCAAGGCGAAGCCCTATGTGTGCCTCCAGTCCTGCAGGGTAGTATTTCTGAAAGATTGTTCTTGAATTGCTGCCTCACTGGTGCCTGGAATGCTTTTTAAAACACAGTATCTTCAGTTACACCAAATATATATACTAGCAGGTTTCGGAGCATCTATATTTTTAAAATATAACCTTTCTTGTACACCTTAAAGAA